TTATTATTATTATTATTATTATTATTATTATTATTATTATTATTATTTGATGTTATTCCGTTATTTTTCTTTGGCTTTTGTCTATGCATATTTGGTTACTCAACAAATCTCTACGTAAAAGTATAAACGTAAAATTCGAGACACTTTGTTGTGTGTGACATGTACAAGCATGTAACCCTTAATACGATGTTGCATTTTAAACAATGATGACCAATAAAGAGCTTTCCCAATTGTTGTCGGTGTACCGAGGGCTTGCTTTTTAAAGGCTGCTCACTGTTGGGATGGAGCCGCCTGTTCCGCTCGTCCAGCGGGTGGAGAATACTCTCTGGGTTTGACACACACTCGCACAAACAAAAACAGCTGTACACACTCAGACACTGAACACGGACACAAAAAAAAAAAAACAGTGAAGAGGCAGGGTAGGATAGAGTTAGTGTAGCCAGGTTGAGACAGGTGTTTTTTGTTTTTTTTTTCTCTTTCCTTTTCTTTAATGGACAGCGGGTCTCCTTTTGTCGCGCTTGACACTCAACCGAGCTTATTCTAATCCTTTCAGGCCATAAAAGCGAAAATGGAGGAGCTTAGACCGTTGATACCAGTGTTGGAGGAGTACAAAGCCGATGCCAAATTGGTATTGCAGTTTAAGGAGGAGGTCCAGAATCTGACGTCAGTTCTAAGCGAACTACAGGAGGAGATGGGGGCCTATGACTACGAGGAGCTTCACAACAGAGTGTCAAATCTTGAGGAGAGACTCCGAGCATGCATGCAAAAATTAGGTAGGCACAGAAAGTTATCGACACACACTCTGCATGCACAAACCCTGACTTAGTACGTCATGACAGCCAGAGAGATGTCTGCAGGCATATTCTCATGATGAAAAAAACATGAAAAGATATATTTTCCGTGGTTTTGATACTCCATTTCCCAGGAAACAAAATTTTCCCGCACACTGATATTATAATTGACTTTTTCACTGGGTTATTTTTAACATAGTCACAAGAAAAAAGGTGTATCATTAAGGCTGATCCAGGGAACTTATTGTGTAATAAAATGAATGTGACAACGAAATGTTAAATTCAGTAATGACACTTGCTACTTTTTTTCATTGGTCCAAAGCTGTTTGAATATGTAGCTTTGGACCGATCAAGAAAAGCCTAAAACACTGACATCCTCAGCTTGCATGTCCTCATCGGTCGTATCTTTGCTTTTAGCCCCTGTCTCAGCCTCTTCACACCTCTGTCACAGCCCAGAGTGCTAATAGATGCACACCCACACGGTGACTAAGATATATTACGAGAGCAGAGACACTTACGCGCAGCACATCACGGGTATATTGTGTCCCTGTTTCAAATTATTCACAGAGAAAGATGACAGAAGAAAAATTACTAAAGACTTTTGGCTAAAATGCCCACTTTTCCATGTGTAAAGCTAATTCCATTTATCCACATAAATTAATAGGCTAATGCATAATCTGAGCTTACAGGTTGCTTTTTTAATTCAACCTACTGGCCAAGAGCTTGAGACATCGCCATGTTTTGAGTTCCAGTTTAGTGAGCATCGCACTCCTTAAGCCGAGAGAGACAGGAGAACAGCAACCTGCGGGACGTTGCTACAGTGCGAGGGCAAGATCAGATGCAGTGAAGGCGAGGTCACCCTGTGAGATGGCTCAGGCAGAACAGAGGGTGGCTATTCCTTTCATCTTCACTCGGTTGCAGAGGCACTCATGCATAGTGCACACAAATACACTCCGCTACTCTCCCGCTACTCAGATTAAACCGGCGAAGGTCACTAGACACATTTGCATTGGGGAAAAAAAAAAAAACAGGAGAAAAACAATGGGGGCAGGAGAAATTCCGGTGCGGAGTAATAGATGGGAACAACTCATGGAGGATGGTGTTGTCGAAGGAGAGAGTGAAAACAAGCAGAAAAAGGTGAAAGAGAGTAACTAGAGTCTCAGCAGAGCTGTCCTTCAAGCCGCTTTGTGGCAGAGAGACTAACAGCCGAGCAGCTGATGGGACACAATAGCAATCGATCAACAGGACATGCCAGCTTGCCGGGCAATAATCAAATAAATAAATCTTCTTGTGTTTTGGAGCCCTGCGATGTGGAGGCGAATTGAGCTTCTGGCAAATCCAGCCTCTGCACAGTAACGCAGATGAACAGAGCGGGGAGGTCACTCCTGCATATAAACACCTCTGCTACCTCATCCACAACCATTGTTTTTTATTTCAGGTTGATCCATAAGCAAGAAAGTTAAAACATTTATCCTGTTAAAAACCGCCTCACCTCACTCGGTGAATTGATTTCTGCTCTCGGTAATAAAAAACGTATTTGCTAGGATTATATTTCTAAAAGGGGTTGTCTGGCTAAACCGAAATTGAACAATTAGAATACACTAATCAAGTTAATGCTAAGCTGCAAAGGGGAATAGAAGTTTAGAGACAATGAATGGCTAATGTGCCACTAAAATGTATTATTTAAATCTCCTTTCATTCCCATTTGCTGCGAATTGTGTAAAAGTCTTGCAGAGGTCTTTTCCACAAATTAGCTCATCAAACAAGTGAGGAAAGGTCATTGAAGATGAGGATATCAAATAAACAAAGGTCAAAATGGAATAACAGATTTGCCAAGTGGGAGTTTCTGGAAACAAGCAATTAATTCAAATCTAAAACTAAATTTGATTGAAGGGTTGATGGTGTTTTGTTACATCAGCTGTGGTTCCCATCAGGTTTTTTTCTACTTGCACTCCCCTCTCATTCAAACCGGGAATATTCAGGCCAAAAGGGGATTAGACCCTGTGAGCAGCTCCAGAATTCAGATCATCATCAGCGTGCCTCCCAGAAGCCTACAGTAGTAATGGCCATCTAAAGATAGACACATGATTAGAGAAAAGAAATAAATAAATCAATGGCCAAACGTATTAAAAGCAGACTATAATTCCACCGAGGGTTACGTAAGGGACTCAGCCCTCACTGGAGATAGTAGTTCTGCTCATGTGACAATGTGTGTTTGTCTGTCAGCTGAGGTGAGATGCCCACACATTCTCACAGGCACGGCATATGCCGCAAGTAGAGACACAAAACACGAGGCCACAAGTCGCATTACGTAAGGGACAGAAATGTGGCGGTGTCGGTGAGGTTGAAGAAAGCGTCTAATAAGCAGAAGATGAATAAAAAAAACGAAACCCTTGTTGCGCGACTACAAAGTAAAATTACATTTAACAACGGCGGAGAACACAGGAAACGATGGGGCCATAACAAAGAAGACTAATGGATGAAACACTTCACAGGGAGAGACTAATGAAAACCTCAAATGAGCAGTCTTCACAGTCAGAGTCTTTGAATTAGCGTATTAGACTCACTCACTCCATGCGTGTGATTTGATAAACTCTCCAAGATCATCTCATTGACCTTTACGTGTGGAAAACGATATGATGATGCATCCTAAAAATGGCTGTACTGAAAAATATTGTTATTGGGTGCAACCATGACTGTTACGTCTGCTTGCGCGTGTGAAAGAGGCTACATTAACTTTTAAAAGAGGGAGACAACCCAGCACTGGGCTGTCATATCTACATTAACACCTCAATCAACACTAATTAACACTGAGGAGGGTTTACAAGTTTCACGCAGATGCAGAATACTCTGAGGTTCTGCTTTCCTATCCCCCTTTCTGATTCACCTCTTCACACATCCACGCTGAGAGTAAAACAGGCATCTCCATGTGTGAAATGAATAATAAACACTTTTCATCGAGTACATCATGCAAAAAGAAGCACAGCTACGTAGCAGCAAGTTGGAGAGGAAGTTCATCACCCGTTCGGCAGCCCAATTTGGATTTAAAGAGCCAGCGGAGTTTGGATTAGACTTAAAAAGTCCAAAAGGCGTTTCAGCCAATGTTCCCATCTGACTTTTTTCTTTGTAGCATGCGGCAAATTGACGGGGATCAGTGATCCCATCACAATCAAGACCTCCGGATCCAGGTTTGGCTCCTGGATGACCGATCCTCTGGCACCTGAAGGGGACACTCGGGTATGTACAGCACAAATTCAAAGAAGCACATTTCAGACATGCACGCGCTTCCAGTAAGCCACAATTTAACATGTTGGTTCTAAACTACTTTTTAATTGGATTTTTTAGGTACTTTTAGAGCATAAATACACAGCTTTCCCATATATAACATTTTATATAGATGGATTTTGTATTTTACATTTGTCATTTTAATATTTCTTATTGACAAACCCTAATTGGATTGGGAATCAAAAGACATAAAACTATTCCCTTTTGATCATTTGTTTCCTTTGTCTTCTGGCTCTGGCTCGATAAGAAGAAAATAGAAAGAGACAGAACTCTTAAGTCAACGTAAAACAAATTTGCCGGGTGAAATACGACTGTGTGGTGCAGTTTTCCTCCGGAAAGTCAGCCACTTTGTTGGCATAGCCCACATATTTCTTCAAAAAGCAACCCATCAGAAAGGGTAAAGCTCGCTGTTGATGAAGGAAATGTTTGGATGTGAATCGTTTTGAAGTCAATCAGGGCAGCACATGGAGCTAAGCAGTGGACAGGCTTTCGCCGCACCAGTCCTGCTGAGACCGGTAACGTATTAGTAGCTCTGGAACGCTCGCCAGCAGGGCCCGCAGAAAGCAGCTGAGAAAAGGCTTTTATCGGGAATGATGGGCATCATCCCCATGGGGCCTGGTGTTTGCCATGCCGTGGCTGGCAACTGAACCGTTTGTCTTCAGAAGCTGCAGGATTTCAGCTTCATTTGCTCCCAAATGAAGTCTCACTGCTAGCCTAATTGGGATGCTTGTTGATGGTGTGATTTGATTTTTTTTTTCTGTGTGTGATCAGCATGCAAGATTCTGATACTTGAAATGGGCAGATTGATAAATACTGAGACTGTGAGCTCTGGAATGGTGCTGTGCTTTACACTAATGCATCTTTCTGTTTGATTTCATGATGTTTAGGTCTGGTACATGGATGGTTATCATAACAACCGCTTCGTGCGGGAGTACAAGTCTATGCATGACTTCATGACTTCTGATAACTTCACGTCCCACCGGCTCCCCCACCCTTGGTCAGGAACTGGTCAGGTGGTCTACAACGGCTCCATTTACTTCAATAAATTCCAGAGCCACGTCATCATCAAGTTCGACTTCCGTACCTCCTCCATCAGCAAGTCCCGGCAGCTGGACTACGCCGGCTTTAACAATGCGTATCACTACGCCTGGGGAGGCCACTCTGACATCGATCTGATGGTGGATGAGGGAGGCCTGTGGGCCGTCTATGCCACCAACCAGAATGCCGGCAACATTGTCATCAGCAAGCTGAATCCCAACACGCTACAGATCGTCAAGAGCTGGACCACCAACCACCCCAAGAGGAGCGCTGGCGAATCTTTTATGATCTGTGGAACGCTCTATGTCACCAATGGATACTCAGGAGGCACCAAGGTCTACTACGCCTACTCAACTAACTCCTCTACTTACGAGTATATTGACATAGCCTTCCAAAACAAGTACTCGCATATCTCCATGCTGGACTACAACCCACGCGATCGGGCCCTCTACGCTTGGAACAATGGACACCAGGTTCTTTATAATGTGACACTGTTCCACGTCATCCGCTCAGAGGAACTGTAATGGGAATGGATTTCAAACATAAATATATATTGTCTGTGTAGAATTATCACTATATTAAGAAAAAAACATATATCTGCGAAAGAAAAGACTATGGCAAGTCCATTCTATTTATAAACTCATCATTTCTGACAGATTGCATCATTAGTGAATGCAAAGTGGATTGAATGCCTCTGGAAAAAAAAATCTAACACTGAAGGGTTTCATTCCAAAATGTGTTGTACAAAAGGCTGTTTATGTTAATATCACAAAACAGAGAAGATTATAAGAAAAAGACAGTTGTTTTGTAAATAAAGTTCCTAATATGACTTCTGACTTCAGTAGTTAGTAGGCCTGTTTTTTAAAGCTGCTCTCATTTTCTTAGAGGAATTTTTTTGCTTTTGGAATGAAACTCTTTAATTGTTTGCCGTCTAGAAAATGATTGTAAAAATGAAATATATATCAGACATAAAAGATTGAGAAGAGATGCCAAAAAAACAAAGAAAAAAAACTTCACAGCTTTTTTATATAGTGGAATATTCATCAAAGCGCATTCCTGTGGCTCCAGTTCTTCTGCCAAAATCCTCCCTGATGAACATTTTTATGCCGTCGATGGGGGTCCTGAAGCAAGGACTGTTATTAATAAACTGTTGGACCCGCTGGACAAAAGAAGGGGGGAACAATCCAGACAGAAGACTTGATAGCCTAACGGAGTCTCCGGTCTGACACATCGTTTTTATCAAGTACAGTAGCAAATCTGAAATCTGTTCAGAAACAATAAAATCATCCACTAAAAGACCTGAAGGCACTGACTGTTGACAGCGCTGTTTTTTGATCAGACTTATTCCTGTGTTGGTGACTATGTGTGAAGGCTTTCTTTGCATGAATGTTTTCTATCACGCCGCTCTTCTGAATGTCTTTTGCTGTATTATACTATAAAGAAGAAGAAAAAAAAAGGGAGCAAGATTGAGAGGTAGGGATGAAGAGGAAAAATACCTGTTAGAGGTTGCAATTGACTTATTTCATGTGTTTTTTTCTATTTGTTGTAGTTTTGTTTATTTCTATTACTTTGCTATGTTTTTTTCTAAACATTCTTGTGTCACTGTATCTGTTGGCACCGCTTTTGCCTCTGTGTACTTATTCATTTGGACTGTGTAGGAGGAATCTCTCTACCTTTCACCTATATGAAAAAAACAAACAGAATGTAACCGAAATATTGTATCTTGGATAAGGGAATGTGGTCCTCTTGTCTTCGGTTCACATCATAAGCCTGAATTCGGGAAAGGTCCTTTGTTTTTTTTAATAATCCTGTCTTTCGTCATGTATTTCCCTAATGCTAGTGAAGGAAAATGTTGTTAAATGTATACCCTTGCTGAGGACAAAAGCTTTTCACTCCTTTTGCGCTTTGCTGGACATGTGTTGTATCTGAAATGAGGTAGTTAATGGTTCGTGTCAATAAAACAGAGAAAACTGATGCTTGGCTTGTTGCCCTGAAAAGCAACAAGCTGCCAAATGGCTGAATCTTTATTTATCCACAATTAAGTTTTAAGGAAGCGTAGAGCAATTTGGAATGATGTATTTTTAATACTATGAATTAAAATTTAAATATAAAAGCAATGAAACATCATTACTTAGTTCTTCACCCTGACGGAAATACCTGAGTGAAAAAATGTATTCATTATGTGAATAAAATACTAAGTGGGACAGTTGATATGCAAAAACCACCCTCGTTTTCCCACACCTTAATAAGAGCTGGTAGTTTGAAAACCTGATGTAAATCTGTTTGGTTGCCCTGTCTCAGTAGATTTGGTTTGGTATTTATCAGAGGGTTTCCATGAAGTCAGTTGTAGCAACCGCTTGGAAAAGGTCATAAAGTAATTGAAGTTTTTTGTAATAAGAGTCAAGAGAAAAAACTTTGGTTAAAATTTCAAAAGGCAAAGCTAGAATTATGTTGAAGTTGTCAGACTGTCTGATCTACTTCCTAGCCTATTGTCTCCAAAATTAGCAGGCTTGATTGTACCGTGGGATCAGTCAGCTCAAATAACCCCCATCAGTGGTTTCTTTTTTCACTAATCATATCTAGGTCGAGATGCCTTCATTTTGAGGCAAAACTGTCCACTTCTGACTGACTCAACAACTTTCCCTCTTTTGATCTCCACTCCATTTCGCTTATCCTAACTACTATCCTTCGTTTTCTCCCTCATTCTTCAGCCTCTCTATATGTCTTGCTCTTTGTTGCTCCCTCTCCCCCACTGCCTCTTAGTCCTCTGATGTTCCAATCGATGAATAAATGATTGCTTCTATTTTCACTCTGAGAGCTTGCCCAACACATACTGCTTTGTTCCCCAGAAAGATACAGATGGAATGTGGGGGGAACAACAAAAAAAAAAGCATGGAGAAAGGAATATGTTCAGCAGAGGGTCTTGCAGAGTTTGACTAAATGAGCTGTCACTCAGAGCCTGAATAAATTTGCATCTTTGAGTAGTGATTTGCGCATCAAAAGACAACAGCATTGCTTCCTTTAGTCCCACTTGCTCACCCAACACATCACAACCACACATGCCTGCAAACTGATGGTTACACTTTTAGAATTCACCTCCACTTTTCTGTAATGAATGTCATTTTTTGCGTTTGCTCAAGGTTTGAAATACTGCAGTATATTTAACTTGTGAACACGTTGACCCCTTATGCAACAATCCCCGCGGCAGCATTTCTGGGACTTAAGAGCGGACACAGCAAGAGGTTTGACCTCACTCAGGCCGGCTGTAGTGAGCACCGTTCCCCCAAGGACCCAACCACTTATCTGTGATAGAAAGCCGGGGTCCGCGAGCCAAAGACAGGCTCGCAAAAAGTTTGCGCAGCGGTGCAGTAACTTTGCTTCGCATCCAACCATTTTATGACAGATTTAGGAGCTTTTCGGTGCATAACTCTGCCTCACCGCCATCTACCGCCACTTTCCTATAATCAAAGGTGCCATGGACTGCTGTTGAAGCTAACAATCTGACATACTGCTTCGTTTGACTTGTATGTGCACTTTAATTTAAAGTTAAGAAAGAAAATGACACTTCATAAATCAATGCAATATATTCAGTATCATGACATGTCATTAAGATGATTTTGTTGACCCTACTCAATCTTTTATTGGTTATTTCTTTCATACATTCAAATTTTTAATGCTAGTTGGACAGTTGGACCGATCCAACTACAGTAACATATAAATTTAATTTACACTGTGACTATTGTGTGCCATTGGATTAAAAAATCAAAATCTATACAATGCTGAATGTAAAATGTTCTACTATTTAAAAATAAATATCAACTAATCTCAAATTTGATGGCTGCAACACATCACAATATGTTTTCAACAAAGCCAAAAAAGACAGATAAGGGGAATAAAACTCGAACATATTAAATAAAAGAAATGTGGCAGTTATTTGGGCTCCTTCACAATGAGCCCGTCACATGATTGGACAGGGAAAAGCACCTCAAAGAAGTAAAGACCCTCAGCGGTTGTTCTTTAAATCTTTCTACTTTTAATTTACATTTGACTCAAATCTGTCAAGAGATATTAAAATCACTACAGCTCAGATCAGATCAAATCAGTCTGCAAACAGCAGTTTTTAATAAAAAATGTTGCATTTTAAATTAAGCTTTCGACTCTAAGAGAGGTATTACTTAATCATGCTATCATTTGGCTGGTAGATTAAAGTTCTATGATCCAGCAAACAGTTCAAATTTAATTTAAGAAACATAAGAACATGATTAATTCTTAACTGCCCAGAGAACCAAAGCAGAGAGGATATTGGAGCTTCCCAAGATCAAAGCAGTCTCAGTAAGTTTTAGATATTAGTTGCGACATACAAAGAAGTTCTGAAAATCACTGCTTTGGCTGCTTTGTTCCATAACGGAAAAAAAAGAAAAAATAATTCTATCAGATTAATCACGCTGACAGGGAAACAGAAATAAGCCTAAATTTTCATTGGCGCTGGGGGCAATATTCAAGCAAAACCTATTACAAGCCCTGCATGGACTGGAATAACAGTCGATAATAAATCAATGGAGCCATAAAGCACAGCACTGAGAGAGAAGAACAACAACCACGAAGACAATTCATTTTAATTATAGGGGACTAAAAATGGGAAGTAAAATAAACTCAGATGTCCCCCTTTTTGATTCTCTGTGGGTCTGGTTTTATTTAAAGTTGTGTCCTTGTCAGCAATTTAAACACCTGCTCTCCAACTAAATGTGTCCTTAATTAGCATTTTCTGAATTCACTGTTCTCATAAGGAGGCGTGCATGTACGCTTACAGAGCCGAGTACGCTGCTCCCCCGTACCACCCAACTCATGCTCACTTTTCATCAAGGAGGCTCTGAGATCCCAAGATGTATTTTCCGCATTGGCAAGAAGTTAATGGCAATAAACATGTGACGCCTGCATAATGTCAACCAACAACAAATTTTTTTCCATATGTGACTTTTGTATTCTCTGCATGAGAGACATGAGGCCACAAAAACCGAGATTGAAAGACATTGGTTTTAGTTTAGTGGTGAAAAAGTAAAATGGTGAAAGGACACACTGGCTCCTGTAACATTTGATACTTAGAGCAAAAGTTTAAAAATCAAGCTGCTTCTGGGAATGGAATAAACTATGTTGTGTTGCCTATGGGCGTTTGGTTCTATGTTCATATGACATTTTCGGAAATGCAGAGACTTAAACTGTTCTTAAATTTGTGACTATCCCGGACTGTTATTCTGTGAGTGTGCCGATAAGAAGTGACCTCCAGTTTCTTTTGACTCACACCTCATTGTTGTGGAAGCATTCAGAGGCAGCCCCATACATCTTCCTTCTTGCACATCCAGCTGTGAGACTAAATCCCCAGCAAGAAACCTCTGCTGTGAAACACATGTGACCAGAGCCTGCTAAGAAAATGCACACCAAAATCACATAGACCTTATGAAAATCTTAAGGTTTCATGTGTAAAATCAGCAAAAACGTATGCATTCACCACTTGTTCACTTTGGGGTAAAGTATTGCCTCATTGACTGAAGACTTACTCTGTATGGCTTTCATTTCTTGAATTCTGTGCTATCTGAATACTTGTTCATGGTTCTCGATCATTATGGTCAAAAGCCTTTGTGATGTTTTTGTGGTTTCAAAAGAAACATTTTCATAATATGACCCACTTTCAGGGCTTCTCAATGACTTAAAACGGACGGTAAGTGACAACAAATATAGGAAAAAAATTCTATTGGTTGAGATTAAACATAGAAATTCCAATATTTATGCATAACCACGCTCCATTACGCATACAGGACGGTTTCATTTACTCTAAAAAGACCACACGTTGTGATGACAGTTGTGCTGCGTATCGTAAAGCGTTTTTCCTGAGCAATATGGACGCGTATCTGCCAAGGGTCAAGCCTTATGTGTGTGTGCATACTCACGAAAACTTGCATGCGCCTGTACATGTGTGTCTGGGCATGTATTGCTAACAAGCTGTGGTGGCGAAAAGTGTGCCATCTGTGCACACAGGAGATTTCACACTCGTGTTCGTGTTTGAGTTGTGCCAGTATTCTTCTCAGGGACACTGGCCAATCATCACAGGGAAGCTCAAAGCAACAAGCTCCAGCCTGTTAGCCTTGCCACGTGCTCACACATTTTTTCAATAATGCCTCCACATTTAGAGAAAGTTTGTGTGTAATACTTGTTTACGATTATGTATTTCAGTCCGTCCGAAATACTGATTTCAAAATTATTCTAAGTTTTATTGAAAGAATAACCTTTCCCCCCCTTTTTTTGCATTCAGTTCAGGTAACATGTGCATTATTTAGTTGTTTTGAGCACCAGATATTTTAATTTTGTAAATTGGTCACTAGCGTGGCAAGAACCACCACAGCGAATGGTGACTCATGGATTCTGATTCAGCACAAGCTTTTCTTATCCTTTCTTCTGGATGATATGAAGACAGGCTGTGTAGAACAATGAATTATTCAGCATCATCTGGTAACCAGGGATGACACCAGTCGACGAAATCAAAATGCTAAGGGGTGAAGAAGATTTGATAGTGTTTAGGAACGAAGCGCATGTTTCAGAGCTCATCACAGTCTCAAATGATTCTGAATAATGACTTGCCTTTGACTGGGAGCCACACAGATTCCTCACCTTTGCTTCTTCCTTACTTTCTTGCTGGCCTTGCAGCTTCACCATAATGTCAAGATCACAGTCACACAAATACCGTCAGATCCTGCCCAGGCAGCCTTGGTGCTGCCAAATGTCACCAGCTTATAAACTAATTCAGCCCCGAGTCAATCTGTTTTCCTCACAAGCCGTGCTGTAGGAGTCCAGTCGGCGCGGCCTGATTACATCGTTTCACCTGATATCTTTAGTCCTGACAAAAGCGGCTGAAAACCGAATTGGATGTAACCAGATCAATACCCCCAGGCAGTTTGCCTCTCTGCACCAGCAATGCATAATTACGTGCTCAACCCATCCGACTCAATCACATGTACAGTGCGTGACCCGCTCTCTAAAGGTTAGATGGGCTGTTTAAACACCTCGCACTGCTCTTTCTCAC